GGGGCCCCAGGGGTGGGGGCGCCGGGGAGCAGCCTCCACCCCCCAGTGCCCGCTCCACGCCCCTGCCCGGCCCCCCAGGCTCCCCGCGCTCCTCTGGGGGGACCCCGTTGCACTCGCCCCTGCACACGCCCCGAGCCAGCCCCACCGGGACCCCGGGGACAACGCCGCCCCCCAGCCCCGGCGGCGGTGTCGGGGGAGCTGCCTGGCGGAGTCGACTCAACTCCATCCGCAACAGTTTCCTGGGCTCCCCTCGCTTTCACCGGCGCAAGATGCAGGGTACGGAGTCCCTGGGGGTGTAGGAGCTGGGGGCGGACTCCTGAGCCCTGATGTGGAGATGGGGCTGGGGGGCTAATAACGGTCCCAAGGGAGGAAGGGGCGAGGGATTTGGATTCCTACATCCTATGAGAAGACGGGGTGAGGACCGAGATGCAGGGGTGGGGCCTCAACCCTGGAGGAGGAGCCTTTGGAGGACACGTCCCCTTGGTGCTCTGGCTCACCTTCCCATTGGCTCACGGCTAGCAAGCCTAGCCCCGCCCCCGGACTGACCTGGCGGGGGCGGCGGGAGGACGGTGGGGTGACGACATCCTGAGAAAAGAAGGGGCATAGGCCACCTGCCGTTCGCGGGTCAGCCACCGAGAGGTGAGCTGGCAGTGGCGTCTGGAGCCCCTGATTGGAGGCGACTGCTGGCCTGGGTGATGGATACCAACCAGGGTGACAAACAGGCGTTGACCATGCGCTCCCCTCCCTACCCCCCAGTCCCCACCGCTGAGGAGATGTCCAGTTTGACGCCGGAGTCCTCCCCAGAGTGAGTCTGACTGGAGGGAAGAGGGGATGGAGGGAGGATTCATACCTCAGCCCCGTCCTGACACGCCTCCAACCACGCCCTCCCGCTCAGGCTGGCCAAACGCTCCTGGTTCGGGAACTTCATCTCCTTAGACAAAGAAGAGCAAATATTCCTTGTGCTGAAGGACAAACCTCTCAGCAGCATCAAAGCGGACATTGTCCATGCCTTCCTGTCGGTGAGCGGCCTGGGTCGCCACGTGCGTTGGCCACTGGCCTGCCCTCCCCGCAGCCCCTGGGGTTGGCCCCTTATGCTCTGCCTGACCTCCTCCTGGGGCTCGCGCGATCTGTAGTTCTCTCCAGAGTTGGGGCTGGTCACTGTAGGGGCAGGGAGGCAGATGTTTATTGTGCCCTGGAGTCTGTGAGTGGAGAAATAGGATCCCAAATGACAATCAGTGTCCCGAAGATTGGTGAGTTGCCCTTCCCCCGCCTCCAGGTCTGAGATTGACTGAAGGATCACTTCTGTCAGTGAACTCCCGGGCTCCCCACTGGTCCATGGTCCTCTGCCCCAAGGGCTGATGGGACTCCCGGATTCTGAGACAGCTGTGTCTGTGGAGGGTGGGAGAAGTTTGCATCATGTGGTCCTGGAGCCAGGAGTTGGTCCCTGGGTATGAGAGTCCTCACTACATTGGGATTCAGTTGTCAGCCACTCCTGATACCTGGTTCATAGTTGGACAGAGAAAACTACAAGTCCCGGCAGGCAGTAGGCCTCCCATAGGCCTTTTCTGGCTGGTGGGACCCATAGTTCCTTGGGCAGAGGTGGTAGTAATCTTGGTTATCCATTCCCTGGGCTCAGGTCACTGGAGTCACCCCTTCTCTTGTCCCCCACCTGTCTCAGATCCCCAGCCTGAGTCACAGTGTGCTGTCGCAGACCAGCTTCAGGGCCGAGTACAAGGCCAGCGGCGGCCCCTCCGTCTTCCAGAAGCCTGTCCGCTTCCAGGTGGACATAAGCTCCTCTGAGGGTCCAGAGCCCTCCCCGCGACGAGATGGCAGTGGTGGTGGTGGCATCTATTCTGTCACCTTCACTCTCATCTCTGGTAAGTCTCCCTCTGGGCAGCGGCATGCGGAAAGAGGAGATGGTGCTCCACGGGGCCGTGTTTAGACTGTCTTCACTGGCACCCCACATCCCTCCTTCCCTTTTCTGTTGTCAACATCTAATGGATATTTAGGACATTCCAAGTGCTGTGCACCCATTATTCACTTGCACTACACTCGATGTTTCCTAGCAGCCTTTGACAGCAAAAGTGTGAATAATGAGGGACGGCTGTGGTCCTTGCCACCAGTCTTAAGATGTCACAGGTGGGAGATGAGCTTGCTCCCAGCATCTGTAAGCCAGGCTGCTAGGGACACTGGGGCATTACATCACCACAATGAATTAGGGCATTTTCTTTTTTTTTCCCTTAAAGGTTAATATGCAGACTTTCTCAGTTTTAAGATTTTTCTCCCTCCCAATTATTTCTGCCTTCAACTAGAAACTAACAAGCAATAGAACCTGTTTGAACAGAAAACAATACCCATTGTAATTTTATTTAAGTCAAACTTTTCATAGCCCCATTTGCTAACCTGGAATGGATGCCTGGCCCGTGGGGGGTGGAGGGGGATTGGTAACTGAGACTTAGAGGAGAGGCCTTTGCTGGGTGGAGGGAGGTTCCGCCTGGTGGCCCCGAGCCCAAGTGAGTCTGTTTCCTTGCCCCTTGCAGGTCCCAGCCGTCGGTTCAAGCGTGTGGTAGAGACCATCCAGGCACAGCTGCTGAGCACTCATGACCAGCCCTCCGTGCAGGCCCTGGCAGGTGGGGGCCTGCGGGGTGCGGCACTGTCGCCCTCTTCCATGCCACAGGCGGGGGAACATCCTAGTGACCATGTGCTGCAGGGCTTTGATTGGTAGGCAAGGCTTCAGCCGCAGGGAAGCAAGGCCCTCATGCTGTGTGGAGCCTTACCTGCAGTGCTGTAAGCAGGTTCCGAGAGAGGCTGGGGCCTGAGCTCCATAGGCATCAGGCCATCCTGAGCCTGAAATGGCCTCCCTGCCAGGGCAGCGGCCTCCAAGGGTCCCCAAGAGGGTAGCAAGTCTCCGTGTTGGGGGTAGTGGGACTTCCTGCTCGCAGAGCCTCTGGAACGGTGTCCTAGAGGAATGTGACCAGCTGTCCTTGTGCTCGGGACTGAGAGGTTCCCAGGGTGCAGACTTTCAGAACTCAAACCAAGACAGCTGGTCCGCAGATGCTCAGAAGTTGGGGCTGACTCAAGGCTGCAGGCACCCAACCACTGTCATGACCAGGGTTCACAGGGAGCGTGATGGTCTGTGCTTGTGGGCTGGCCCTTCCTCATCCCACCAGCCCTGGTTGTCAGGGAGCAGAATTCCCTAGCACCCAGGGACAGCCCCGTGGCAGGCTTTGTTGCTGAGGTGCACCTGCCCTAGCAACCAGAGTAACCAAAATTGCTAAGCAAAGGGTTCCTTCTCAGCCTCATTGCTGAGACAGGGCACCCCTCTCCCTGAAAGGAAGCAGGCTCACCAGCCCCCAAGAGTGTGGATTGGAGCCAGGGTACCTTGTCACTGGAGAGCCCCGAGCCCCAAGGTGGGAGCAGTGCTTCTCCACGGGGGACCCGTTTCACCTGTATTCATTCCCCTGGCCACGGGAAACAACCCTAAACTCAGTGGCTCAAAAAAGGCCCATTGATGATCATTCAGTCCTGGAGACCAGAGGTCCCACATGGTGGCTGGGCTGACATCCAGGTGTGGGGAGCTGGGGAGGCTACTGGCATCCTCTGGGCTGGAGGCCAAGGATGCCAGGAAACATCCTGCAGTGCCCAGGTCGGACCCTCAGTGGGGAGTTACCACCTGAACACGCTGGAGGCAGGTGGAGAAACCTGTTCTGGTCGGGGCCCCTGGGCCTTGTGGCCTAGGGCAACCAGGATGCAAGTTTGGCCCCCTGAACCTTTCTAGACCCAGTTGCCAAGGAAAACTGGCCTTACCAACCAGGGTTCCCAAAAGGGCATTCCCTCAAAATGTAAGACCCACAGGCACCCAGGACCTCCATCTTACAATGGTGAATGGGCAGGGGGCAACCTGAGCCTGGTCCCAAATAGGGGAGACTTAAGGGTTGCTATGGCTTCTGGCAGGCTGTGTTGGGGGCTGGTCCCTGCCGAGGGACCTCCAGTACTGTTTCCCGCCCTATAGAAACTGCTAGATGGCCCCTGACCACCAATGTAGTCTCCTGGACTAGGGGAGTCAGGCAGGCCCAACAGGGTGGGCCCAGGACAACCCAATGTGGGCTCCCCTGGGCCCCACTGCCAAGGGGCATTCCCCGAAACAGCCAGAGTAGTAGAAGATAAGGGCAGCCCTCTGGCCATGACCTGGGGGATGCACATCTTACCTGGTGCCAAGACAAGCTGTCCCTTAGTACATAGTGTCATGGCCAGTCTGAGCATGTCTCCTGAGGTCAGCCGGCCAATCTCCCCTGGACCTACCCGGCCCAAGGCCCAAAGCCACAGGATTGGAGGAACCCAAGACACACGCCCCCTAGGGCTACCAGGCCCAGTGCTGGGTGCCCCCTGGCAGTGTGTCCCCTGGCTTCTGCTCCTTGATGGAGGCTTTGGCCTCACTGTGGAACACGTTCCCTGGGGTTTAGCAACTGTGGGGTTACTGAGGCCAAACTGCTTTGTGCCCTACAGATGAGAAGAATGGGGCCCAGACCCGGCCTGCTGGCACTCCACCCCGAAGCCTACAGCCCCCACCCGGCCGCCCAGACCCAGAGCTGACCGGCTCTCCCCGCCGAGGCCCCCCTAAGGACAAGAAGCTCCTGGCCACCAACGGGACCCCTCTTCCCTGACCCCAGGGGGCTGGGGAGGGAGGGGAGCCCCCTCCACCCCCCTTCCCTGCCCCCCAACTGTGAATCTGTAAATAGGGCCCAAAGAGTATGTAGGGAGGGGGGACACAACAAGCCTGGCCTTGCCCTGAAGTGCTGGGGTTCAGGCAATGCCCAACTCGGTGGGGTTCTAGGGGGAACAAGGGGGGAGCTGTTTCTATTTTATTTATTAATTTATTATTTTATTTATTGGTCAATCTCTCTATGGGGTGGGGTGGGGGAGGGGAGGGACGGGCTGGTTGGGGTGGCTTAGCAGATCCGGACGGACAGGGCCATCTGTCCTCGTGTCCCCAACTCCCTGTTCCTCGCCCTCTAAGTCCTCCCCTTCCCCACGACCTTCTGTACGGATTTGCTCTCCGGAAGGAATTCTGGTTCCGCGTGATCCTGCGTCCATCCGTGTCTGACTCCACCGGCGGCAAAAACAAATAATAATAATAAATAGCCTTGAGCAGGGTCACTGGCTGGCCTTGGCCTCTCGCTTCCTGGTGGCCCTGACTTCAGGGGCAGGCGGGCAAGGACCCATGTTCACCAGTGTTCACAGCCGGACCTGCAGGGTGACGGGAGAGGCCGGCGGGACGCTGAGGCTGGGGCCTGGCTGGAGGGACAGGGCACAGCCGTCCAGGCTGGAGAAGTCCACAGCAAAGAGGCCAAAGAGCGTGAACAGCAGCATGGCCACGGCCCACTCGCAGGCAGCAGACGCGGAGCGCAGGGGCCAGGTGTGGAGGACGACCACTTCACACCGGGTCAAGGGCCACAGCCTGGGAGGGCCCTGGCAGCCGGTGTGACCAGGGCGGTCTCTGCGGTCCCCCTTGGGACATGCTCGCCCTGCCCCGGATGGAATGACCCCTCTGGCTGGCTGCCCTCCTCGCAGGCTCCCGGGCACTACAAGGGATGCCCCCCAACCCCCATCTCCACCTCAGGCTGTTTCCCAAGTGTTTTCTTTTGCCTGTTCCTCCTGTTCCTATTCAATATCCCAGAACGTTATCTTCCCAGCGGCCTTCCCTGACCCCAGGAAGACTCCTCGCCTCCCACTTGGCAGGCTGGGCAACCAGCTCCCATTGCTTCTACCTCCGAACCGTCAGGGTTTCCGAAAGGTAGCCTCACCCCACCGCCAGCTGCAGGCTAGGTTTTTGAATCTCCCCAAACTTCCTCTCCCACACCCAGTGCCCACAGGCCCCTTCCTGCTCCCAGACTGAATCTCATCTTCCGCTTTCTGGGGGCCCCACCTCACAGTGACTCCACCTTCCTCTCGTAGGCGACTGCCTCCCTCTCCCCTTCCTCACCCCCTGGCCCGCTGGGCACCCCAGGCCCTGTCTGTCGCCTCACCTGTCTCCTGGCTTTGCATCTCTTCTCCTGTCCCTCCTGCCCCTTCTCCAGCTCCTCAGAACCTCTCTGACTGGCAGCTTGCACATACCCCAAAGCTCCTGAGCAGTGGCCTCTCCTTTCGCAGGAACCCCTCACTGGAGCACGCCTCGCAGCCAGTCTGTCTCTTGACTTCCCACTCCCAGATAGGGTTAGACATTCTTTCATTCACTTGAGAGTTTTTAGACAGTGAAAAATGCCAGCACCACCCCTAGACCCATGATATCAGTGCACAGGACAGGCGGGAGGCCCCAAACACAAGGCGCTGACCCCCCAGAACTGATCTTATTCCTCCCCTGCTCACAAGCTGCCCATGGCTTCCTATTGCCTGTAGGCAGAAGTCCAAGCCTTGAGCCTCTCACCTCAGGCCTGGAGATCCTGACCCCTGGCCCTGCCAGCATCCAGTTCCCTCCCCTGAGTTGGTTTTTCCACCCTCTGCATGTACCTACAGTGTCCCCTCATCCTCCCAACCCAGGCCAAAAGCAGCTGGTTTAAGACCAGCTCAGGATTGGCCTGGTCTCAGGCCCTTCTTTGCAGATGGCCAGCCCATGTCACACCCAGCTGGCCATCTTTATGGTCCAGCCCCCTCGCCGCAGTCAAGGGATACCTCAGCCACACAGAATGATGCCCCTGCAGCCAAACTGACTAGCAGCCACGCCAAATTTGAAGGGAGCCAGCTGGACCCTAACACCCACGGCCTCTGCAGAAGGGATGCTTCTACAGCTGGACTAGCTAAAGGCTGAGCTGAGGGTCAGCCCCCACCACCTAGTCCATGGAATTCAGTTTGTTGCTCTGGGAAACGGGACCACCATCTCCCCTGTGCTGGGACAATTCCAAATACATGGATCTACCTAATGCAACCAGCACAGGAGCTCAGACTGTTTCCCCTGCAGCCCCTTCTGAATGCCAGCGACCAGCCACTTGCCTGCCCCTCCAGCCCCAAGGGAGTGACTTGACTGCCCAGAGGTGTGCCGTGACGGTGGGAAGCACCTGGGTTCTGGAGTGGCTCCCAGCGGTGTGCTGGGGAATGCCAACAACTGGCTCCGGTTTGTAGTATTTGCCAGTTTCTGTGGTATAAATACCCCAGCCCAGCCCGTTCGAGCAACCAGCCTGACGTCACCAAACGTGTAGTTGCATGAGATTACGGACTGCTCTAGAGAGCCTGCACAGGATCCTACAGCGCCCCCGGCTCCACCACTGGACGTCATGACAGGCCTGGGCCAAGAGACTCCCATCTGAACCTGTTTCTGGTCTCTGCCAGCATGATGCTGGCACTGGGCGAGTACCCCAAACAGACTGCTGTCCTTGCTTTATCATTCTCCCAATATTTCTTGGTCACCCACTATGTGCCAGGCATACATCTAAGCACCGCACATGTATCATCTCTCATTTTACAACCCTGGGGACGGCCCAGTTCTCTGCATTTGACATATGAGGAAACCGAGGCACCAGAAGCTAGGATATCAGTGGAGCTCTTCCAGCTGGTACGCAGAGGAAGTGGGACTTCAACCCAGGCAGTGCGACCACAGAACTGGCCCTCTGTTACCCTATGATCCTATGTGGGGACAGGACGGGGCCCGGGCGCTGCAGCCGCAGACCCACCTGAGGGAAGAACTGCCCTGACTCGGCCCCGGCAAGGATACTGGCCACCATCAGGATGGTGCAAAGACCGCAGAGGCCCAGGCGGAGCGGGCCGATCCAGGGGGCCCCCGGCTGGGGCAGGCCCCGCATGCGCCAGAAGAGGAGGAGCTGCAGCCAGAAGTAGAGGTTGCCCACGAAGAAGGCAAAGAAGGCCCCGGTCAGGTGCGTGGGCAGCTGGTTCTTTTGCTGGGAGGAGAGGAGAGGAGAGCTGAGAGGGAGGAGTTACGGGAGGGTGAGGGCTGCTGTGTGGGGAGGGGTCCCTGACCCACGCATGGACTACCATGGGAGACTGCCGGACAGTGACGGGCCGGCTCACTGACCAGGTGCCTTGGCTACCGTCAGCCCCAGGACGGCCGGCACTGAATCTGTTGTCCCCACTCTAGCCCCAGTCCCTGAAACAGTGCCTCGCACATAGCAGATGCTTAGTAAATATTAGGGGAATAAATCTTTAATTCTCCCCTACTCTGGAAGGGAGAACAGATATTGCCATCAATAGGGTAAAAATTGGCTTTTGGAGAGTGAAAAGTTCTTAAATACTACGGTTTGAGGCTTACAGATATATAGTATAATGTTAAAAGTTTTAAATACAGAAAACTTAACGGGAAGGGGTAATTACGGAAAACTAGAGTCTCCTTCACAGAGCAATGTAATAATTTTTAAAAAATAAAGGTCAAGGAACACAGGAATAAATGAATGAGTGAATGACTTGCTATACACGCGTGATGGGAAATTGGAAGCAGCCTCTTACACGAACACCCTGTGGTTTCTTTTAGCAGGAGAGGATTTGAATCAGAAATATCACAGGAAAATTAAATGATAAAATAAACCAATAGGATTTCTCCTATCCATTGCCCATTCATGCGTTCTATAAATATCTACTGTGCTTTCCTGGTTAAGAATGTAGGTCTAGAGTCTATGAATCTGGGTAGATGTCTGCCATGGGCCTGCTGATAAAACAAATCTCTCTATCGGATTGGCCAGTAAGGATCTACCTAGAACCCTGTGGAGATGGATGGAGACAGCAGGCAAGGTAAAAGCCTCGTGGCTCCTAGTGAACGCTCGTCTACGGGGCAAATACAAGAATGACTGAATCTTAGTAATTGCATCATTAAAAGGGGCTGAGGGACGGGGAAGTGATGGAAAATTACCCCCACCTCCCAGGGTTCAAGCACAGATGATCCAAAGAGCCTCCCACGCGGGGCTCCACTCGGGGAGCGGAAGCGCTCACCCCCTCCCCGGGCCGGAACCTGGAGAAATACAAGTCCCCGGTGGCCGTGCGCGGACCAGCCGCCGAGACGAGGGCCTCTGCGCGCGGGGCACGCTGGGAGTTGTAGTCCCAGACTCTGGCTCGCAGGGCTCCGCGCGCCGAATCCGCCTCACCTGGAAATTGCCCACCACCGAGGTGCCCAGGGCACAGAGGAGCCCCGTCCACAGGATCAGCTGATTAGGCCACTTTCCGACCCCCCAGTCCCGGAGCTGGTGGTAACGGAGAATGCAGATCCAGGCGGCTGGGAGGAGAGGGCAGTGGGCGGGAGACCCGGACCCCTGAGCCCCGGGGTGGGAAGAGGCAGGGCGGGCTGCGGGGAGACTGGGGGTCCAGGAGTGCAGGACACACTCCGCGGTCTGGGGGCCCGGACTCCCGGGTCCGAGGGAGGAGGGCTGGTCCCCATACCCCCTGGGCTGGAAGAGGCTGGCGCCAAACGGCCAGCACTGGAGTATTTACCCAGAGCAGCTCCCATGTTGAGCAGCTGGCTGAAGATGCAGCTCTGGGGGGGGTAAGATCCACAGAGACTGGGGAGAGTAAAGGGTCATCCTGTGGCTTCCCTCCTTTTCTCCCTCCGGACCCCCAACCTCAGCGCCAGACTACCTGATATAGGGGAAGCCTTCGGTGAGGTTCACAGCCCCGTTGGCCACCGCAATCGCAAAACTGAAGTGGGCAGACATTAAAGTGGCATTGAACAACTTGTCTTTCCGTCGCCCACAGAAACCCAGCCTTCTGAGCGTCTCCCTATCGGATCCGGGAGTCCGGACCCCGGCCCTCCTCCCTCGGGCCCAGGCGTCAGCCTCCCTTCAACACTCACACGGTCCAGACGCCGGAGACCCCCCAGAGGGCCAGGAAGGCGGGCAGCAGGGACAGGTAGCCCCACATGCCGGTTCTGCAGGGGAGGAGCGGAGCCGGGACTGGAGCCACGAGCCGCCCTCCCAGCCCGCCTCTCGCCCTCTCTCCCCTCGCTGTCTCCCCTCCTCCTCTCCCTTGCTCTCCCTCTGGTGAGGACCCAGCCTAAGGGTCCAGGTGCAACAGATCGTGGCCGACGGCCTCAGCCAACCCCCCCGGCCCCCGGGCGGAGGCAGCGGGGCATCAGTGAGGCCATCTCAGAGCCCCGGGCACTTTCCCTATCTTTTCCAAAGCCCTTCAGTCCAGATCTCGCAGTGTCTCCTCGCTGACCTCCCGGAGCCTCTCCCAGCCCCCTCCCTGCACTGCCCTCCTCTGGGCTTCCCCCAGCGCACCTGTGGGGCACCCTCCGTCCCCTCGGGCTCTCCCAGTCCCAGTCTGGTCCTGTAGAGAGGCAGGGGAGGAGGGGTGGGGCTGGGGTGGGGCTCAGGCTGTTCGTCCTGCAGAGCCAAAGTCCACGCTGGGTTGGGATGCGGGCCGGAGGGTATCAGGCTAAGAGTCCGCCTTCTCCAGAACCTCGCCCCCAAACCACCACTTCCGACCTCGGAACCCAGTGAGCAGCGCAGCACCTCAGCTGCAGGGGCCCACAGCTTCCTTCCTCCAGCTTGTTGATTCAGTGTACAAACTCCCCAGCCCTGTCATCCCGGCACCCAGGGATCCCAGCCTCCAGCTCTCGGCACCCCTCCTCCCCTGAGACCCAGGAGTCCAGGCGGCTAACGTTGGTTCTCAGCCCCTGGGGTCCGGCGTCCCAGCTCTCACCTCGGGGGGCACGGGGAACCCAGGCCCAGGCCTGCCGCCCTCCTGGGTGCACTTTCTGTCCTTCGGCAGCCCCACCGTTGCCTTCCTCCGTACAGCCTCCCGCTCTGAATGCGGGCCAGAATTTGAGGCCAGGCCGGAATTCCCCGGGAGGCAGGCGGGGTAGGCAGGGAGGCCTTGATGGCCACACCACCATCCTGGAAGCCCTTCCCTAGAAGCAGCTGCCTGCCCTGCCCCAGTCTCCTTTCCCTCTCCCCATGAGCAAGCCTCCACTTTGGGCTCCCAGCCCTCCCAGTACTCAGGCCTTTGGGCTCCCGCCTCCTCCTGCTTCCCCAGGCCCCCAGGCTCTCCCCCCTTCAGCACCCCACCTCTTTTATTTGAGATTAAAATTAACCGATTTAACGTGACATGAACAATCCGGCAGCATTTAGCTCACTCCCAGTATTGTGCCGCCACCTCTGTCTGCTTCCAGAATGTTGTCATCACCCTACAAGCAGACCTGCGCCCTTTAAGCGGTCACTCCCACCCCCTCCCCCCAGCCCCTGGCCACCACCAAACCGCTTCTGTCGCTCTGTTCTGGACGTCGCATGTGCTTTGAGGCTCATCTGTGTTACAGAGTCTGTGTCATGGCTGAATAATGCCGCACCGACCCTACCTCTTCTGGGGTCCTAGTCTGAGTCTTTTCTCTGCCAGCGCTACAGCATTTCCAGGGCAAGCACCCAGGGGGCTGGGCTCTCAGCTTCCTCAAGAGAAAACATGAGAAGTGGAGAAGCAGACAGTCAGACGCTGCAAACATCTTCTGAGGCCGGGGGCCCAGTGATCAGTGGAGACTGTGATCTTATGCCTGCCCTCAGCAGGCTCCTAGGCTGCAGTGCAGACGCATCAGGATAGGTGTCCTAATGAAGGTAGCGCAGGGCCTGGGGACCCCACAAGAGGAAGGGGCTCACCAGCAGTGTAGCCAGTACATGTCTGTTTGTCAGGGAGGCTCAGGAGAATCTCACAAGCCACACTTACAAAGAGGATGTGTGCAAGTTTATGGGCCGCAGGAAGGCTTTCTCAGGAGAGCCCATGGGGCCCCGGAGCCTGGCCTATGGGGTCAAGTGCCCCTGTCTGCTCACGGAGCACAGGACCCACTAGGAGAAATGAGCCAGGACTCGAAGTTCTCAGTTGTCATGAAGGGCTTGGACATTATCCTGAGGGTACTGGGGAGCCATAGGGGGTTCTTGAGCAGAGAAGACACTGACGGTGTGCAGACAGGAACCAGATGTAACGATATTAACTGCCAGCTCATCTCTAGGGCAGGCACCACGTAGCTACCAAACTTGATGCATCCAAGAGATCAAAGAAGATCTAGGGCTTTCAGCTAGGCAAGACTTGAGTTCGAATCCCATCTCTGTACCTAAGAGCCAGGTGCCTGTGTGAGTTTCTTGTGACTGCTGTAACAAAGTACTGCGAATTTATTAGCTTACGGTTCTGGAGGTAAGAAGTCCAAAACGGGTCTTATGGGCTGAAATCAAGGAATTGGCAGGGGCCTCTAGGGGACAATCCACTTCCTGGCCATTTCTAGAGGTGCCCACATCCCTTGGCTCGGGGCCCCTTCCTCTGTCTGCTTCTGTTATCACACACCTTCTCTGATTTTGACAGTGACCCCCTCGTTCACTTATAAGGTTCTTATCTGTGATGGTGTCTGGGCTCACCCAGATAATCCAGGATCATCTCCCTGTCCCGAGATCCTTCACTGAATCACACCAGTGAAGTCCCTTCCTCCTGCACCATAAGGAAGTCCCAGGTCCCAGGGGTTAGGGTGGAGACATCTCTGGGGGTCCATTGCTCTGCCCTCTGCTGTCCTATCAGGTAGGGGCTTCCACTGACCGGTCTGTAAGTCGGAGTGTCCTGGAGTCACACTCCCTGCGTCGGCGTCTCCTCTTCTGCCTACTGCTCTCAATACCACCTGGGGCAGGTGGCTTCATTCCAATGCACCCTGGCTTCCTCATCTATGAAGTGGGAGTAAGAAGGGTAACTACCCCAGAGGCCTGTGGTGTGGCATCGACAGCTGGTCCACCTAACGGGCTCAGGACAGCGTCTGCCACGCTTGTGCTTTAAGAGGTAGTGTTGTCAGTGTGCCTTTATCTGGGGCTGGTGGTAAGGATCAAGTGGGAAAGCGCAGCCAGCCTGGCACTTGGTAATTGCTCAGTTCAGGCCTGTTTTCTTCCAGGGGGTGTTGTTCAGCTGCTGGAGCAGGAGGGTGAATCAAAGCCCCTGCATTTTTTTTGTTTTGTTTTGGGTTTTTTTGGTATTTTTTCCACTTAGCAAATGTTGACTGAGGACCCACTGTGTGCCCAGCACTGTTCTGGGCTCTGGAGATACAGCCACAAACAAGCAGACAAAGACTCCCCTGGTGGAGTGAAGCTCTAGAAAGCTCTCGCCCCACCCCACCGCCCCCCGCAGCCCTAAATGCCCCTCCTCCCGGGTCTCTCCTTGAGTTTTGGTGGCTGCTGTCCTAGCTGATGGTTGAGCATCCTCCTCCCCAATCCTTCATTCAGCACACATTTCCCTGAGGTCCCTGGGTTCCCAGGCATGCATCCCAGCCATGTGCAGGTGACCAGTATCCTTGTGGATGTCACACAGAGCTAAGGACCCTAGGGGTGGGAGGGCAGGATGCTACCTGCCTGTTCACTGCAGATAGCAGTGCATCCCCCAACCTGCCTGTCCTGTTCTTTTCCTAATTCTCTCCTGAAAGAGAATAACAATGCTAACCCCCAGGTAACCCTATGGGAGACTGTACCCACTTGGGGCACTGTATTGGCACAAAGGCTGGGCTTACTGGTGTCCCCATGGTGGCTGTGTGACGTCCTCATGACATCCCTGAGAGGCCTGGGGGGAGTGGGGGCTCAAGCCTGGTGGGTTGCATGCAATTTGGCGATTGGGCTCCTCCCACTGTCCACTTGCAGGCTTGGTTCTGGACTCTTCTGGATGCATCTGGGAACTGGGGCTGCTAGCCTGGCTCAGCCAAGGAGAAGAGGTTGTGGAGGGATGATTCCATACTTTCATATTTGGGAAACCGCTTCTGGCTGGTGGCGCGAACTGCTTCTCCTAAAGAGGGGAACCTGGCTGGGCAGGGGGTGTGGGCCTCTAGGGACATCTGTTCTCTCAAAGCAAGATGGCCTCCTTTGCAGAGGTGCAAGGGCTCAAGAGGGAGTCCATGTGAGGACTTGAGACTGCCTGGCTCGCAGCAAAAGTGGGGCATCCGTTCAGTGCTTCTGGGGACCTTGCAGCCCTGAGAAGCTGCTTTGTAGGGAGGATAATGGGAGCTCACAGGGAGGGTCCTCCAGGAAACACGCTCTGGGGTGGTGCTCACAGGGCAAGGGACGCCCTGCAGGATGCCAAGGAAAGAGAAGGGGAGAGGGAACAGGAAGAGGCAGGGAGGTGGGCCTGCCGCCTGTGCATGGAGAGAGGAGGGCATGGGTAGGAAGGGCCTCAGACTGTGGCTCTGGCTCTGAGAAGGCTCAGCTGGCCCCACTGAGGCCGAGATGAAGGACAAGGATTTCCCGTCAACAGATCCATAGAAACAGAAAGTAGGCAGTAGTTGCCAGGGGCTGGAGGAGGGCATGGGGAGCAATTGCTTCAGACTTCCTTTAGGTGTGGTGAAATGTTTTGGAACCAGATGGTTGCACAACAGCATGGCAGTGTGACTGCTGAGTGCCAGCTAAATGATACACCTTAAAATGGTTTGGGGGGTGAGCTCTGTGTTATGTCATGTGAATTTTACCTCCGTGAAAAAAAAGATTGCCATTAGAGAGGTCCCACACTGGGTGGAACCGGCTGGCCCGCTGCCACCAGCTTAGCTGTTGGTTGGGTGCTGTCTCAAAAGAACAAGACCTCAGTCCCAGAAAATGGTGGTTGCTGGTATACAGTTGGGGTTTGGGGGCCAAATGCACTCTTCACAGTCAATCAAGTTCTTCCTTGAAGGGAGATCCACCTGGGCCACCATACTTGCCCAATGTCACTCAGCTACTGAGTAGAGGAGCTTAAGTTACCCAAGTCTGTCTGATTCTACAGTTCGGTTCTTTCCAGCATGCTGTTCGACCTCCTCGAATACCCATACCCATATCTAGCCACCCAGCCTCCCATGGGGCCTGTCTGCTCATCACGCCTATGTTCTGGCCTTTATGCATTCACCCACCTATTTATTTGCCCATCTGTCCACCTGCTTCTCTCTCCAACCGTCCTTTGCTCAGATATCCTTCCAGCTCTCCAAATTCCACCGAGCCATTCATCCACCCATAGATTCTTTTATTCCTTAATCCATTCATGTAATTCCCACTTCCCATTTATCCTATAATCCATCCATCAATTCAACAATCCACTTTCCCATTGATCCAATCCACCTAACCAACCATCTGTATTAGCTTCCTGTGTTTGCTGTAACAAATTCCTACAAACTTGGGATAATCCAGGATTAGGCCCTCCTCTCAGGACCCTTACCTTAATCACATATTTTATCATATAAAGTAATAATCACAGGTTCCAGGGATTAGGAAGTGCAGATGTCTTTGGGGTCACTTTTTTGCCACACAATCCATCCAATTACACACACAAACACACACGCTTCTCTTTCAGTCCCCCAACCCCAACTGTCTCTTTCCATCCAGCTGAGTTATGGGACCCAAGGATGCACAGGTGAGTTCTCGAGAGGCTCCCTGGAGGAAGCAAAGCTGTAAGCGATGGTTCGACAGCTGATGTAGTTGCGATTGGTTGTGTGGAGCACATGTGTGACTCTGTGGAGCTGGCCATTTCTGCTACCTGACGCCTCTGTGTCCCCATCCCTTACCACCTCCACATTGGGAAAGAAAAGGGAGATGGGAAGAGAATGGCCCCACATTTTTTTTTTCACCAGTAAGGTAGGTTTAATAATTCTTCATCCTTAAGGCTGTTCAGAAGACTAAATAAGTGTAGGTTGCCTAGCCTGCTATCTGGTATGTAGAAAACATTATGATGTCTGACCTAGAAGGAATCTTCTTTTTTTTGTATCATTAATCTACAATTAAATGAAGAACATTATGTTTACTAGGCTTCCCCCTTCACCGAGTCCCCCCCACATACCCCTTCACAGTCACTGTCCATTAGGACATTTTCATATTCCTTAAGTCTTCCATCCCACCATCTCCCTTTTCACTCCCAATCCATGAACTTGGTTTATTTCCCCATTTATTTAGATCTGCTTTAAGATCTTTCAGTAAAGTTTTACAGATTTGTTCTTGAAGCGGTCCTGCACCTCTTTTGTTAGATATATTCCTCTGTCCTGGGTGTTTATAAATGCTATTGTAA